TAGAGGTCTTAGGAAGACAGGGGGGCACGTCGAAAATGGCTCCAGACATTTTCACGTCCCCCCCCTTAAAGCATGGGCGATGCTGTGGGCGTATTCGGGTTGACAGGAGAATCACTGGCAATGGCAAGAGGTTTAGGGTTCAGGCTGAAGGATCTAGGGGTGCGGGCGTAGGGATGACAAAGCTCTCGCTCAGCACAAAGCGAGAGCTGAACTACAACGTCGTGGCAAGGCTCAACAAAAGATCCTAGATCTGAAGATCCTGCAGGCTCAAAAGCTGTATCCGGAACGCATCTGCCCTGACGGGCAGTTCCGAATTCCGATCGTCCAGTGGATGTTCCGACGCGCCGGAGAAGCCCTTTAGTGGGCCATGGCCATGTGCATTGCATGCGCAGCCCTACTAGCTCTTTGGCTTCTTGTTGGGTTGGCACGGAGGATGCTTCAAATTCTTCTGTCTCTTCCTGGTATCTAGAAAATAGGAGCAGCCTGAAGCAAAAGCTTCTTGCCGGGGTGTTCTTGTCATAGACCCTACAAACCCCAAAGCCAGTCAGCACAAAACTACCAGACTTGCCAAAAGATAAGTGTACTTAGGGGCATGCCAAGTTTCGGGATTGCACCGTAGAACGCTAACTCCAGACCTTGCTACAAGATAGCCATATGTCGAGGCACTGTTCCGCATGGATTTTTAAGTTATGGTTGAACACAAGTACCCTGGCTACAATGCGGGAATAGTGCAATAATTTCCAGCTCATCATCTTACTGGTGGTCAGTAGGGCTGTTGTAATCCCCATATAGCATGTTCCCGTGTTCCCTACTTACCCCCAGTAAGTTGTCAAAGTCCAGATGTCCTGGGCATCTCTGTCTCAGGCCTGGCTGGATGGCCTGCGCCAATGCGCCTTAAGGCCGTGTGAGGGCCTAATAGGGGAATAATCTAGGTTTCAGGGCTTGGGCCATAGCTCAACAGATGGGCTCTGTTACAAGTCTGCCGGCAGCATGCCGCGAAGTCCGTACTCAGCAGCTGTACAAGGGGGAAACGGAGGGCACACGAATGTCTTGATTCAGCTATGGAAAAGTGTGATGAATTGAAACTGAAGCTTTTTTGGTTGGCAGCTTGCTTTACTGTATGGAGAAGGCAGCGCTGCAGAGGATCCATGCTCTGAAGCGGTGCCTCCGACACATGCTTCTAAAGCATCAACGTTTATCATTTTGCAAGCAGGCCAGATTTCTATGCACAAGATATCTTTCTCGACCAATGTCGCTTGGGGACCTGGGGGAACTGGGCATGGTCTGTGACGGTCTGTGTGTGTACGTGGGGACGGCATAGAGTCCGGAGGTACCCCGAGTTCAGGGCTTGAAGGTTCAGGCGCATCTTTGTGGCTTGTGAAAGTTGCGCAGGCCAGAACTCCTCTAAATTATGCTTAAGCCCTTCCAATGCACCCGACTGGAACAACTTGAACATGCCTTAGATGGTACCTTCAGTGATGACCAGTTCTGACATCACTCCACCCCAAGAATCCAAGTTATCCAAAACCCCCTGGCAATTACGATCCTAGATCAATGAGCCCTGAGCCCAGAACGCTACGCCCCCAACCCTTGACCCTATGACCTGGAACCACGCTGATGCAAGTCTACAGAGCCCCAGCTTGGGGTTGAAGTTTGAGGTTTGGGATTCACTTTACCTCTTTACTTTATCTCTTGCCCTCTATAGTCGAAATCACAGTATGAACCCAAAAGCTACAGCTGTTTTGGACTAGGGTGTGGGCTGCTAGAGCCTGGATCTGCAATTGTCCGGAATATGCACCAGCGAAAAGTCGGACACTACACAAGAAAGGAAGGACATCAAAGGTCCAACTGCTTTGTGTTGGGGGTTTCTAGTTCCCAAAATTAGGAATACATTTCAGGAGTCCGAATAAAAAGGATTGTAGTATGTTTGGGTCTATATTGGGGGTCCACTTATTTTGGAGAATTACCACATAGCTGTCCCAATAACTAGCCAAAGTCTTTGGCTAGTTATCGAGACAGCTATGTGGTAATTCCCCAGTGAAGTGTTCCCCTTCCGTGCGCATGCATGATCGTGTCGGCTGCTCCAAAGCCATGTTGCAACCCAAACTGTTTTTGCAGGACAGCATTCCGCCTGCGGAGGTTTCAGTGCGGCGCACGTCCCTACTGCAGCGCAGTGGGCATTCAGGCCAGAAGGGCTCTGGAACATGTTTGCAAAGGCTGGCTTTTGGCTCCGATGGCTGGTAAAGCCCCAAGTCCAAGCAATCATGAACATCGATAAAACAGAAGCAACAATGTCAGTGATAACCACTGTCTTGACACAAGTCGATGGAAAGGGCAGTAGTTGCGGACATCAGCTGGACGCGGTGGCGGCAGCAGCCGCAGCACAAGCAGCGCCGGCAGCCAGCTGCTTGGAGAATGTGTGTCAGTCCAGCGTGTCAACTTCTCGCGTATGCTGGCTCAACTGGTGTTCGGATGACGATCAGCGCCATGATCAGACAACGATGAGCGTGGCTGGTCATCAGAAGATGCGTGGTCAGTGTGATACCGTCGCTTTGTACTTGTAGAACAGAGTACAGATATAGTTTTGCTGCCTAGAAGATATCAGGCCAAAATCGGAAAAGTCTTGTGGAGACTGGGTGACCTAATGGCAGCTGGCCAGCGAGCGGCAGTCACCCTCTTGAAGGTCAGTGGTTGCATTTTCAGCGCCTGAGGCGCGTAGACAACATCCGTTTTTGATGCTGTGGATTGCATGATAGGACTGAGGGGTAGACACTCAAACTCAGCAGCCTAAGCATGAAGAAATTGAGAAGTAGTAGCAGGCGCTGGCAGTAGCAGCAGTACTGGCAGTGGTGACTTCGTAGCAACGGTGTTGGTGACAGTGTGAAACTCGCACTGTGGAGAGCATAGAGGTCAGGATGGAGATGCACCATCTTGGCTGAGGACAGTAGGGTCACTGTAAACAGCCACAAAGGATATGCTGCCATTTGAAAAGGAAGGTGCTGTGGTTTGGTGACGACCATCATGGTCACAAGCTTGCAATTCTGTGCTCTGAGCTTCTGGGGTGACTTTGGAGACCCTATCAACAATTCTTGAGATGTGCAGGCTCGAGCCTCCCGCACTTCACGAACTTGTGCTTTGCAGGCAGGGCTGGGATAGCTCCAGGTCGAAGCTTTGCTGCTGACAGCTTGTAAGTTTTTGCGGTCTTGAGAGGCGCCACATGCCGCGTCTGCAGTTATTTTGGCTCCTGCTGCATATCCTTGCAAGATATTGCAAAATCAGGAATCCACCGCGTAGTGAGCATGCCCTGGGACGATGCGCGGTTCAGCAAGATTCTTGGCCCCAGCGGGAAGCTGCACCAGCAGGCCCCACTGCTGGAGCTGGTGCGAGAGTCTGGTCAGACTCTCCAATCCATCGAGCAGGTTGGGCCATTTCACGATTTGAAGTGATGTCCACGTCCTGCTTTTCAACGCGACTGCCTTGAAGCTTGTTTGCTCTTGAGGTCTTTGCCGTTTACCAGCGACTGGCCACCTCTGAGCACGACTCCGCAGAACTCATTGCAGCCTTCAAAGAGGTCTCACAGCGTCTGGGTGCTTCGGAGCCAATTCTTCAGGGTTCATCACTGTTTTTGCTTCAGTGGCTGGAAAGATAAGTCAATTGTGTCGCCTTTGCCCGAGGCGATTTGGAGGACGCTGTTGCGGACAGCGCGGGCGCTGATCCAACGCTCCAGGACATTCACAACCTGCTCTGCTGGGATTTCTCAAAGAAAGTGCTGCGGCTCAAGCCCGAGGCGCGGTTGCCTAGTCGAGCCTCCTACACGTTACTGCAGTGTGGGTTTGAGCCAAGCGGATCCCTCAGGTGGATGCTAGCCAAGCAAAGGGCTCGCTGGGCCGCTTCTGGAAGGATCTATCCGTCTGAAGTCTCAAGTCTGGAGCCTGAAAATTCATTGCGTACAGTATGTTTCAGGACCAGTGCCGATTGGCCGAAGGTGCAGATTGGCAGCCGGAATCCGAAGCGACTCGGCTGTCTTTTGTTGGGACTCTGTATGTGGAAAAGCTGATCTATCCAGACTAAGCTGACCGCAATCTGAGGCTCGCCTTTTGGAAAAGCTCGGCGGTTTCTTACCAGGTCCGCAACCGGAGGATGACCTGGACAGGGTTAGGCAGCTCGTCAGTGCCTTTCAAAATCTTCCTGACGATGAGAAGGTGGCCTTTTTCATAGACCACTTTAAGCAGGAGCTCTTTGCGGTGATCCAGCAGAAAGCCAACAGCGTCATTGAAAAGGACATGGAGAACGTGGAAGAGCTGGACAGCGCGTTTGAGGCACGGGAGCACTACTACAAGGTGCTGACACAGGCTGCCGCCTTGGTGGCACAGTGTCTCCACAAGTCCACTCATGAAGCAAGAGCCTTCCTGTTTGGCATCGACTGGGCAGAGCTGCCCATTGAAAAGCTGAGGGCCAAGAAGAGCCAGCTTCAGAAGTCCTTCCACACCGACAAGACCAAGACCCTGGCTTGGCAGGTTCATCTCATGAAGCAGGAGGAGGAGGAGGATGTGGAGCAGCGCGTTCATGCAGACATGGAGAAGTTCACGGCGGCAACAGTTTGTGTGAACCAGGTGGGCAGAGCTATTGAACAGGAAAGGGAGAAGCGGCAGAATGTTCAAAATCGCGTGCACGACTTGGAGAGGAAGGCCAAGGTGTGGGAGGGCCGAGCCAGGGAGCATACGAGGCTGGCACAGCAGGACCCTTCCAGCCTGCTCTGGGATTCGGCGCAGGAAGCTGCCAAGCAAGCACGGGAGCTTTGGGATGACTTGATGCGGCTCTTGGATGATGAGGCTGTTGATCCTGACCACATCAAGCGGATCCGAGTCCGACTCTCCATCGCGGAGGCTTGCATTATGGAAAGCTTACCGGCCAACGTTGCGCAGCTCTACGTGATTGGAGGCAAGCGCCTGTGGCACCAATCTTGGCCTCTGGACCCGCAGAAGCAGCGCGATCACAACGTGCTACTGAAGACTATACTGCAGGTCGAGCAAGCCGTCCACGCCCCAGGACCTTGCAGTTCAGAGCTGTCACATGACAAAGAAGCCAGCTCTGAAGGCCGCGAAGTTCCGGAAACTGCGTTGGCTTTGCTTCCAACTGCATGTCGGGGTCAGCGACTTCGCGGTGACCTTCAGGTTTCCACAGCAGCTGATTTGGACCGTGTCTTGCAGTCAACGAGGCAGTTTGACATGGACGCCTACCAGCTCATGGTACCCACCTTGGAGGTCGCTCGTTGCGATGTTAGCTCGCCCATGTGTCGTACTCTGCGGTCTCTGCAGCGTGCTCAGCAGGTTGGTATTGCACTCGGGTCTGCGGGACTGACATCCGGTGCAGTTTGCTTCGCCTCGGGATTCATGATCGGCTGTGCTTTCACAGGAGGTGCGGGTCTGTTGCTTCTGGCAATAGGCGGTTGCGCAGGGGTGGCAACATGGCGGAAGACCGCTCAACGCGGGAACTTCCTGAAGCATTTGCATCACCTTGTCCGAGAAAGCCACAAGGCACTGCAAAGAAAAGGCGCGGAAGCCTTTCTCGAGACGCTCTGCATGCCGCTGCCCAGTTCTACAGACCTTGGAGGCGCTGCCGGAAAACGAGTCCTGAACTACCCACACACCTTGGAAGAGCCGCTCAAAGACCTCAAGGGCAGCGTCAAGTTCCTTTTGGAGTGGGACGTGTGCCCGGTTTTCATTGGTCAGCTGTTGCTCCAGGTGGCAGAGATATTTGCTTCTCGGCGCATCAAGAAGATCAAGGTTGATGGTGAGCCGCACGCCCCCATGTACAACCGGCTCAAGATTCAGGCTGAGGACATCTTGACTTACCTTGAGGCCAGCGCAGCCAAGGATGGGGAGCTGTATTTGGCAGCAAGGGCCATGGACGAGGCGGCAAGCCGGGAAGAGGCTTTGACTGTCAAAGCTACGGCTACGTTTCAGGCAGATCAGGGCAGCCTTCTTGAAGACCATTTCAAGTGGTCAACTTCCTGCAGAGCATGGTATTTACAAAAACCGCTGCCGCACTCGCTCCCGCACTCCAACAACGCCCAGGTTGGAATGATTGTGCAGAAGGCCACGCTTCATAAAGAGATTGGCAGCGTGTGCAAATCAGACCTGAAGAACTTAACTAGCCTCGCGAAGCTCTTTGCAGAGAGTGGAGTGAGCAGGATCGAGCTTGAATTCCAGTTGACACCGTTGTCATCCTTCAAGCAGCTCGCATCCAGCTTTGTGAAGGACATGCCAGCCAAGGACGAACAACAGGTTCAGATGCTTCAGCTGTTGCAAGTCACGCGGATCAACATGGCAATGCTGCTGCTGCTGAACCAGGATGCTGCGCAAGAAGAGGATGGCAACATCAAGAAAGCTGAGCTGATCCTTCAGAAAGTTCTCAGTTCTATGCAGGCTTCTAATACCTCCTACGACTTGGAGATTCGCGTGAAAGCCGTGCAGGACTTTTTCCAGGTCTTTGCCGGGCGCAAGTTGAAGGTGCTTGAGGATGGTGAGGCGTGCCCTGCAGAGGCCATCAGGTATGAGCAGTGGGGTAGCCGAGTGGTCAGGATCAGTGAGATTCCCCCGAAAGCCGGCGGGCTGAGCAAGCTGTCCAAGGAAATGCAAAGCCTTGTAACGTCGTTCCAAGCATCTGTTGCTCACCAGAGGAGCAAGACGAGGCCTCAGGCTGGGGAGATCCAAGAACAAGCGCAGGACCTTCTCATTCTCATGGCCTCTCTGGAGGCGGAGTCTTTCGACAGCCCTGATGACGTACTGCGGTGGCTGGCAAAGTCGAGCAAGCCGCCCATTCGACAGGTATTTGTTTGCAAGTCGCCCGCTGTCTCAGCAGGTTGTTCTACGAGTTTCTTTAGTGATCGATCCGGACAGCCTGCAGAGGAGCGCAAGCTCATTCCTGAGCCCGCTGAGCATGGTGATGATGTTTTCTTGCTGGAGGGCGAGGGCAAGTGGAGCAGCCTCCAGCGATTTGAACCTCCACAGTTTGATTCTGCCGCTGGCGCTTTTGCCAACGACTTGCGCAACTCCCCCGGGGCGCTCGCAAACCTTGCACCAGAAAGCAAGGAAGGTGGGGCCATGAGGGTCCTACAGGAGCTGGAAAAAGCCTTCGAGCAAGGCAAGGCGGAAAGAGACTACTTGCTGCGCTTGGCCACAAATTTGCTTCGGATCCACCCTTCAGCCAGCTTGCCACATGATCATCTCCGCGCCAATGTGCTGATGCCATGCCTTCGGCTGCTCTCCGAGGAGAGGATGCATGCCATGATCACCGATGAGATTCTTGCTGAGACCCAGCGCTTCCTTTGGTTCCCATCGCTCATCTCCAAGATCTACTTGATGAAGGCGCATTCCTACCTGTGTCAAGGCAAGGTGCACTTGTCCAAGAAGTGCGCCGACGTAGTGGCGAACACGCCCGAGTACGTGGACAGCTGCGCAGATGAGAAAGCATGGCTTCAACGCCTGCAGCATGCGCAATGCGTTGCCATGAGGCATTGCGAGACTCCCGCGACCTACAAGGAGGACCGTCCAAAATGGGGCAAGCAAAGCAGTATGGGCTTGCGCTGCAACCAGCGCGAGGCTTTATACAGCTACACGCCAGAGAATGGGCACGCCTCAAAGTCTGCAGAGCAGTACAACATTTTGACTGTGGCAGGTGAAGGCATCCAAGACCTCGTACCTGCTGTCTTCCTCAGCGAGTTAGAGCTCCGCGTGGGTAAACCCTTGCACGAGGTCTTTCATCTCATGGCAGGGGCTTCAACGGGATCAGTACTGGTGGGAAGCCTTGCTACACCGACGGCTGAAAACAAGGCCCGCTATCGTGCCTCAGACATCGTTGAGCTGTATGCTTTTCAGCGCTGGCAAGTCTCCTCCGACAGCGGTGTGGAACGGCTTCTCAGGGAGATGTCCGTCTTCGAGGAGCAGAGCCCCATTTACTTCAGGGACACACTGGGCAACCTAATGGTGCGTGCTGGCAAGGCAGATGGATCAGTCCAACAGTGGGTTGCGCAGGAGGCACGCGTGGAAACCAACAAGGTCTACAAGCGCACCCTCAAGCTCTTCGATGTTCTCAGGCCAGGTTTGGGGACATGAGGCTGAAGGCTGAGCAAGGGCTTTGCGCATGTGTTGCCAAGTGCGGTGCCATGAGGGTTGCTGAGGGATCCTTATCGCAGTGCGCTTGACAGTCAGGAGCTCCACCGCCGGTGTCTTGCCGCCCTATGAATTCGATGGCCAGATGTACTTCGGTGGGAAGTCGTTGGAAAGTGACCTTGACTGGGATGCATGGATGTGGGCGAAGCAACAAGATGCGGCTTCAGGCATGCTGCTGCTGTCGCTGGGCTGTGCCACAGATGTCTATCCAGGGCTCCGCAATGGCTGCGAGAAGCTGACCTACCACAGATGCTGCCCCAAGCTGGGTGTTGACCCCGCCTGGGGAGACACGGCAGGGGCCACTGCGACATTGTTGGATCGGGCAGAGTCCTACCTGCAGGAGGCCTACTGCTCGGAGTCCAATTGGTTCAATAAGATGATCGAGAAGCTTTCCAGCTGACCGTGCACTGAGCCGATTTGCTTGAAATTCTGCTCCCAGAAGTGGGCTTGCTGGGCTGCCATCAAGTTGAAGGCCATGTGCCTGCGGAGCTTTGTAGAATTCGGTGGGATTGCAATCACCACGGCCTAGTTCCTGCGCACGGGCCGTAATTCAGGCATTCGTTCCCGATGCTGCCTGGTCAACTAACTGCACGAAGATGCACAAATCTCTCTCTTGTATTTGTCTAGCTTTGTAGGGCCCGACCCTGCATCGGATCTCACATGTCGAGTCTGTGAAAACTGTCGTGTAGTCCTGGCTTGGCTGCGCGAGCTAGATCTAGAAGAGGAGAAGATCTTATCGTGGCGCGACAAGGGGAAAGAAGATTCATCCAACAGCTCATCATCATGGGTTATCAGTGGATATGAGTGGCTTAGCGGAAGTTGTCTGCAGATGTGTAAGCACCAATGCATGGGCTGCATTGCCCGAGATCCATGCCTGGCCATTCTTTCCAGGATGTGATATTCAACCGCTTCATGCTTATCCATTCCCGGAAGTTTCGTGCCAAGGCACCAGATTTTCACTTCTCGTTCATCCGTTGAGTTTCTGTGCTTTGCAGCTGTGGCTCAGGTAGCTCCAGCCTTCCAAGGTGCTCCAGCAACTTCCAGGAGCCAAAGTTGCCAAGGTTTCTAGGACTTCGAAAATCGTGTGCTTTGAATTCGGAGTTCATACACACTAAATCATGTCTGTTCAATGCGGGCTGCGCATTAGATATGGCGTGAGGGACCTGGGGACCAACCCTGGGTGGCAAGCGGTGTGTTTTAGTGGCAATTTTTCCAGGGCCGGGAGTCACTGCTGTCTGTTTTATCTAGGATTGAAGCGAATCATTCCGGTTGCAAAGATGAGGATTGTGCGTTCATTGCAACCTGATGTTCCTCCGGCTCCTTGACCCACTGCAGCCTCCTACAGCTGCTTGTTTTGGTTTGTTCTTTCAACTTGAATCCAACCACCTCTTGCAGCAGGATCGACAAGATGATGCATTGCGAGCTGAGCGACCATGCTTGACGGAACATCTCGAAGCAGGCCGTTTGCTGTAGTACTAATGCTACCTTGAATTTATTATGAGCTAGGCGACCACGATTACTGTCTGTTATGAAGTATGAACGTGGTTGTTATCACCTTGTTCATCGTCGTCGCCGCAGTTATTAGAGGAATACGTCGGGTCGTTACCAGTACAAAAGTATTGGAGCCAGTATAGCGCTGCCAGAGCATCCTTGCAACCAGAGCATGCGTACATGGCCCAATACCACATAGATGCTGCCATGGCATCAATGCTCAGGCAGACAAGTATGCTACTAGAGCATCATACCGAACATGGTTGATACCAGAGCACGCATCCAACTAGAAATTATATTCATGTATGTTGCCAGAAAATACCGTTCGAGTCTCCATGCTACCAGAGCATGCATGTCCAGCCGGACAATTCCAGGAGCACGATCCGCGCTCTTCTTTCTCCAACAAGGCCGTGCTTTGCAGTCCCGGGGTTTGGAGTTGTTCGCTGACTGAGTCAAGTAGATGCTAGCTGAGCCAACATCACTTGAATTTCCAAGCGGGGCGCAACTCAAAGTTGTCAAGCTTTGCATGCCTTATCCAAGTTGTTGAGAGTGTTCCAGATCTACCAATGCTTGCAGGTGTCGATGTTGCACAAGGCAGTGGACATGACCAAGGAGGCACATGCTGGACTGATAAGACAGCTGTAGACATGTGTGAGCCTCTCATGACGGCCGCCATGGACAGACGTTTGGCTTGTGAGAGGGTTAGCACGTGCTCAAGCAATGCTTCAGGCTTGGTAAGTACTGCGATGCTGTAGTCTTGAGTTCCGACTGGCAGGTCTTGGTAAGCAGTGGTTTGAAGACCCGCGTTTGTCCGGAACTGGCAACCGGTGGGCTTAAGTTTGCCTTCAGTGTCCCTTGTTTCCAGTCCTGACTCGCTGAGATCCCTTGCACCATGGCTTCCGTGAAGAACATGCTTGCCGCCGGACTCCTTGCTGCGCCTTGCGCAGACGCCTTCGTGGCCCCTGGAATCTCCCAGGTCCAGGGAGCAACGCTTCGGGGCTCCGCGGGCGTGCAGTCTGAGTCCTGCTTCGGCGCGAAGTCCGCTTTGGCTGCTGCGTCCGCCGGCGCGGTGGCGCTGAGCTTCATTGGCGCCCAGCGCCCTGTAGCTCGCAAGCAGAAGGTGGTCTGCAACTTCAGCAAGGAAAGCCAAATTGGCGCCATGGATCCGCTCGGCTACTTCGATCCTCTTGACCTCTGCAAGGATGAGGCGACCTTCAAGGACTTCCGGGCTAAGGAGATCAAGCACGGCCGACTGGCTATGATGGGAGCACTGGGGATGTTGACTCAGAGCCTGGTGCAGCTCCCTGGCTTTGAGGGCGTGCCAAAGGACGTGTCTGCTTGCACCGTCGGCGCGGGCCAGACTGGCTTCCTTATCACCATCGCCATCATTGCGGTGTTGGAAGCCACAGTCTTTGTGCAAGACGACAGCAAGGAGCTAAACCCTGAACCCCAATCAATATCATCAACACATCAACCCATATGGGGCTCCAGGGGATGCAAGAAAGAGGGACTCTCAAACGGTTTAGGGTTTAGGAGCTTCTCGTCAACTAAACAATGTTTTGTATGTGTTTTTGTAGGAGCCGGGCAACTTCGGCAACCCCCTGCCGCTGGTGGGTGACGACTACTCGGATGAGATGAGGGCCCGCGAGCTAAACAATGGACGCATCGCGATGTTTGCTGCTATCGGTCAGATCGCTGCAGGCCTCTACACAGGTAAGTCTGGCATTGAGCAGTTCGGCGCCTGATCCTGCAAGCCCCTCGGGGCAGCTGCAAGCACAAGTCTCGCGTGCAGGCTTGCCATCAAGCGATGGCATATGGTTTAGTTGGTAGATGTTTACAGATTGTGCTTGACTGCCCAGACATGTAGGCTGCTTTTCGGATCCTTTTCGGATTCGATGCCGATTTTCGGATGGGGAGTCAGCCAGCGCTACTTTCGGCGCACACCCGTGAGCTAAGTACGCAAAAAGACGGAGAGCCTTCAGACTTCAGACTCTCAGAAACCTCAGGCATGTTGCAAAGTTCCAGGGAGCCTCTTGACGGAGATGACATGTTGACGTACTGCGGTCCTGCAGGACTCCGTGTCTTCTGTGGCTAGCGCCACATCACTTCTACAAGGCAGGAAATTTCACAGTCCGAGACCCAAGGCTTGCAGAAGGAGGATTCACACGCAGGCATTCGAGTTGGGACCCGATGCGATCTTTGCGTTGCTGGAAGGACGGGCAGCCCGTCCCTTGCAATCTTTCAGAGCTGCTGGAGTTGGACAAAGAGTTTCAGGCAGATTCCCTGCTCCTTCTGAGCTACGGCCGGCTGCTTTCCCCCTGGAACGCTTGCGAGGCCAGATGTCCTAAGAAAATTCAGGAAATCCTGCCACAAAGATCCACAAACAACACAAACAGAGGGCTGCAGATGTTTCAGGCTTTCAGTGCGGACTACATGGACCGTGAATTTGGGGAGCTGTGTTCCAGGCTGTGACCGAAGCCTGACGTCATCTGCATGTAGCATTTGCATGAAGAGTTGCATGATGCATGGCTGTGACACAGTTCCAATTTGATCAACATGATTGAACGCCAGGCTAGCCGCCTGGACTTTGTCGATGTGCAGACAGCTCAGCAGGCCTCCAAGCGGCTTGAGGACGGGACGTTCCTCGAAATCATTCAGCATTCGCAAATGATTGTCCAGACCTTGGGTGGAAGAGACGCCAAACTTGTGCTTGAGGACATGTGTCCGGCTTTGGGACCGCGAAATAGCACCTGGCCAGGTACCTTGTTCGATGAAGAATCTTCTCACGTTTGCTGGCCAAGGGCACGGGGTCCAAATAGTGGACTCATCCGGGCCTGTAAGGCAAAGCATCCTCCCTCCACCGCCGGTGCTGGGGCGTCATGCAGTTAAGCACTAAAGTGGAGTTTGGTACCTGTATTCCGCATCCCGTAGGAAAGAGTCAACTGGCTTCTCGCTGGTAGCTCAAAGAGAGCCGCGCCCTAATCACAGCTCGGCCATCAAAGGCCAGGCAAGCCTGCCCCACCGCGCGGTGCGGTAGGTGGGCTTGACTCATCCGTTCTGAGATCAAAAGCTGCAAGAGTCCGCTGCGCTGCATGGCCATTGCTGCGCATTTCTGTTTACATCCCTGGATTCTACCCCGACGGAGACCGAGATGGCAGCATGTCACAGTCGTTTTGGCTTTCGGCACGGCGGACTTCGGCAAGCCCGGAGGCTGGAGGGGCTGTGGGGAGCAATGTTCAGAGCATGGGTGTTGTAAGGATAGCAGGGACCCTTTCTGTGGTTTGGAATTTAAGCGGCTCTAAGTGGCACCTTGCTGTGTGCAGAGTTTGCAAGAACTTGCCAGCGCCCAAGTATTGGGCAGTTTAGGGCGCAAATGCTATGAGAATCTGAAGGGTTCTTGGAAGCTAAATGTTTTAAAGTTCCAATTCGGCTACTTGGACCCATGAGGCTATACACTCGAGGTATAATTTGCAGACTGTTTGTATGAATCATGAATCCTTACCCATATGGTGATGTGCACAGGCATGGCGGGCCATGTAGGGCTTTGGACTTCTTGAAATAGAATAGCCTGGGATTGTGAGGGTGCGGAACGCGCAGCCCATCAAGAATTTCCTTGAGGTTCAGGGGATTCTTGGTTGAAGTTTTGGTTAAGAACTTCGAGGGAAGGACAGTGGGGGACCAGAGATGCACCTGTTCGATTTTGTTCACCTTTGCACGCGCCTTACCCGGGCATCCTGGCGATGTCAGTGCAAACCTAGCTAGGAGAAAAGCCAAGTTCGAATTCGGGAATACCGGAATACCCTTTTGTCCCTTCCATCGACTATGTCAGAGAACAGTCGGTTATCATAATGTGAGTACTTGGTTCCAGACCAACCCATGACTTTTTAGTCACCGCAGCCCCATAATGTA